CTGGCAAGAAAATACCTAAGATACCAACAAGAAAATAAGCAAATATAAAAAGGAGAATTCACAAAATAAATGCAAACAGCAATAAAACATGGAAAAGGTTCCCCCTATGTTAGTAAACAGATACTCAAATTTTAAAAAAGATAACCCTTTCTGGCCTATTAAATTACCAAAGACTTTTTGTAACACTCAAAACTAGAAAGAGCATAGAGCACTATTTATGGCCTATATGTACATTTATACAAACTTTCTAGAAGGAAAATTTTAACTATTAAAGATTTTATTTCTCAAAACTTCTTTTGAATTCTAAATTAGGAAATGATTTTACAAGAGCAGCCAGAAGTGCAGACAGAAGTATACTAAGAGGTTCACTGCAGTGCTACCTAGAACGGTAAGAAATTGGTAACAACCGAAACGGTTTATGTTATGACCATAAAAATGGATATGATGGAGCCATTGAAAAAAAGATTTTAATATTTTTACTAACATGTCAAGTGTTCACAATACAGGCAGATAATTCATCATGCTCACCTCAGCCTAGAGAGACCGCTTCCCATACCTACATGATTTGCTTGGCAATTCATCTTCCTGTGATACCTCTTATTGCTATAATAAACTATTATTTAAGTCCTTCACCACATCTTTTCACACGTATGCCTAAGAAAATAGCATATAAAATAGAAAACCACAGATTCTGAACTGTAACAAATACAGATGAGTCCAGGCTCCAAGTACTCTGAACTAATAATACATCTCTTAAAGCCTCATTTTCCTCATCTGAAAAACGCACATCTATTTTACAAGTTCACTGTAATCGTTACATAAAACATGTTAAACCACTTGATGATGGCATGCAGGCAGATGACAGATGTAAATTTATGACTATTTCTGAACCAGACTATGAATTACAACGTTGCCATTACCTTATCTCTTCTCCTTAATTAGATTATAAATTCCTTGATGGCAAGGCATGTTCTCTATTATCCTTATATATAAAAAAAGTATTACCTGCCTGGGGGAGCATAGGAATACTCACAAAGTGTCTTTGAAATGACTCCAACAGAAAACAGAGAAAAGGGCAGATGAATGAAGGATCTCCAACTGGGAAAGGTCCCTGAACCTAACAGAGGCCCACAGAGGACCTGGTCACTTAGGAGAGCCTATGTCTATTCTGTCCACCACTGGAGCCCCACGTCCTTGGCTAGCACTGCCTGACACATGGTAGGCACTCAATTTGTAAGTGAGTCTGCAAGGGAAATAAACAGGACAGGAAACTCTAATGGGTAAGATGGGAGGAAGCAGCGACTACTATTTGCTACTAGTCACTACAGGAAAGGTTTGAGTTTTTAAATTTCATTCACACAATTAGGCTAATGACCCTCCCTTTTTAGAAATCATTCCTTAATACACACATACTCCTTTTGGTATTCTGTTAACACCTAGATAGTCAAAGATTCAAGTAAAATTCTAAGGGCTTCTTTTACAAAATAAAAGCTCAGTTCTGGAGTTGAAACTTCATGGCAAATGTCTCTGATGTTTCCAGAAGTATTCTTACTTCCCTGACTTATTTCTGACTTCTTCAAATAAATGAGTGTAATCAAGTACTTATTTTCTAAATCATTTATTTCAGATCAAGGCATATATCCAAAATTAAGTATGATGGGGCTTGGGAGCTGAAAGCAACCAATACAGGACTGCCACCATTTTATTTTGCCAAGCAAAGATATAGAAAATATACAAAACTGACTGCCACCATAATCTCCAAAAACATACAATTTAACTAAGTTTTAACTTTATAGAAAAAAACTCACCACACTAATTTATCAATTAACTGTAGGCTGATAACTTCACGGTTGTTTGGGAACCTCTCATTAAAAGAGTCAATTTGATTTATGCTGCCAAAGAAACTTTCCTTAAAAGCACTTAACTTTAAAATTCTTCCCACAGCTTTCCCTCCAGGGGAAAGGACATCAGGACAGCAGGAGGGAGTGTGAGAAAAGGAACGGGTTTCTACCCACCTGCTCCCTCGTTGTCATCTCTAACTCCTGCTGCCCTTGCTCTCATGCTTCTCTCCGGTGTTCTCTTCATTTATCCACTCTCCCTACAAGCACTTGCAGAATCACACACCAATTAAGTGCCTAAGCAACAGTGTCAACAGTTTGCGGGCTACTAGTAGTCAAGTTTTGGGGGAGTCAAAAGTAACACTGTGGGAGGGGTCAACAACCCAAATCCCCACACTGTTCAAGGGTCAACTCAGTGTGCATACTCTTTGATAGAGCAAGCACATTTCCAGGATTTTATTCTAAGAAAACAAAGATTAAGCTAAGAAGAATGCCCATACATTGATATTTGTAAAAGCAGAAGAAATGGAAACACCCTAAAAATCCAACAAAAAGCTAACCAAATTAATTAAGATCACAAATAGCTCCCTGGAATAAAAACTTAAGAAAACACTCAGTGGGAATCAGTAAGCAGTTGCTACCCAACAGAAGTCCCTACTGGTAGACTGAGATTATGCCAAATATTAATGTAATAAAAAAATCACTACAACCTGCTTTCTTTCTACCCTATCCCATTTTCTTTGTACTCCTCCTGAATTTACCAGGATCATATGAAAGCCAGCAGCCTCTGTGTGTGTTTCCTCAGTGATACCTATACTGGCAGTGCACCTTATAATCAATGGCATCTTATCTTTGATGAAATATCACTCTCTAAAAGCTCAATTCCAAGAAATTAAATGAGTATAAGACAGATACTTCATAAGAAATGAAGTTTATTCAAGAGTAAAGGCACCAAAATAAATAAGAACCAGAGCAATTTTTTAAAAAGAAACTCTGTTTATAGATTTTCAGAGTCTGTATGGATTATGTCCAGATATTTACAGCTAAACAAATAACCTCAAACTATTTACTAAAATGAAGATACTCAATTTTATAAAGGACACACATTACTTGAGAAAACTATTGAATTTTACCTGAACACTATGTTTCTGGAAAAGAGCAATGAGTAGAAATCCCCCCAACTTTTTGTGTTCCAAGAAATTGTTAACCCTAAGGCCACCATGTCCTTGTATATTATGAGATAAAACCATCTCTATCTTCTTCCATGATTCCCATGTTTCATAAAACAAGTTTTCTCTCTCCTCTTTGAGATATTCTCCATTAATGGATATTTTCCACACTGCAATAGCCTGAATATTACATCCTTGATTATTTAAGAAAATGGAAGTTCTCATATAGGAGAGCTTCTTTACAATCATGTTACCCACTATTCTTACTTTTAAAATCTTTACTGTCACTTTGGTTAAATACATATCAAAGTATTTTTTCTTGGTAATCGATGATTCTATCTTTTTTTTTCAAGTGTAATTTAAATTATTTAATTTGAAGTCATCAAATTAACAAGACCCTTTCTGTATATTATGTGGACACTTAACTTGGTTCTTCCCTTCTGCTCTGAAATGATTTCCCTTAGAACTATAGAGACAAATATTTCTTCACCTTTGCCCCCAGCCCAACCTGGTAGTATATTAATACCCAGAGACAACAGAAAACATCAGTGGAGAATATGCAAAAGTACTATCTTAATTAAAGGGTCCAAATCTCCTGACAACTTTTGATATTTTGCCTTCCCAAAATCAAATCCTAAATGATAGCTTTTACACCTAACACTGTCCTTGAGATTTCCCACTTTGTACAAGGAGAGATACTAGAAATAATTAGGTCTATTTGATGTGTTATATGCTTAGCATTCCTAGGTTAAATCTGCCTGAGTAAGATGTTATAAATATTTCAGAAACATTCTGCTGTATAGAAGCTCCCAGAGAACTGTTAATGCCCTCACTGTCCATGACATGCTTCTGTTATCAGAGTGCTGGAGCCATTTTCCTCAATATTCAACAACAGCACAGGGTTCTTAGGCATAGCTCAGTTATGTTTTTTATATGATCACTTGGTTGCAACTTCCTTATTTTAAAGCTATTATCCTCTAAGCCAGTGGTTCTCAACTAGAGATTCACATCACTTACCACCTATGGAGTTTCATTAATGCACACATATGTTTATTAGCACCTATTGCGGACTTTATAGAATCTCTTTATTTGATATTTTTTACATATTCTTAGTATACTATATCAGGACTGTAATGTTATACCGGAAGATCTTTTTTCTCTATAACGATCATTAAGTTTTCCATTTTCTTAATTAAAAAACTTCTTAACAGACTTAATCATTAAACTTATAAAAATTTTGTCTATTTTACAGCATCTTACTATGTTGATGGACAGTGACTGTGAACGGGGATGTCGGGGGGACTTGGTGAAGGGGCGAGCCTAGTAAACATAATGTCCTTCATGTAATTGTAGATTAATGATACCAAAATAAAATTTAAAAAAATTTTTGTCTAAAAAATCTTTGGATTGACATTTTTTTAAGAGTAAACTTTTTTTTAATTATGTGTAACACAGGAAAAATTATTTTAAGTCAATAAATTTTTATCTAAGGAATTTCACATTGTGATTCCTTCCACTGCCAATACCCTCAGCTCCTCCCAGGTCTGAGTCATGATCTTCATGACAGTCCTTTTAAAATCAGCTTTTGTTCAGTCCACAGTTGTTATTATCATTCAGTCCAACATTCTTTTAGCTGAGCTTCTACGATCACCACTTGAATATAGACATACTTCAAAAATTCCCCATTGTATAATCTCTGGGATCCAATTTCTTCAAGCATTTACCTTTGGGCCACATTTAGGGTCAGAGTAGGATCCACCTGGTTCTCAATTTCAGATACCCTCTAACCATGGGTCAAGTTCAAATCATACTCATTCCTAAGCTGTCAAACCCTAGGAATTGTACAGATCACTAGGATATGCAAATACCTAAGATTAAAAAAATATTTTCTGTTATAGTTCAGTTATGTTTTTTATATGATCACTTAGTTGCAACTTTCTTAATTTCAAAGCTAGGATCCTCTAAGCCAGTGGTTCTCATAGGTGTGTAGCAGACCTGTCGTGTAGTTTCCCAAAGATCTAACACACAGTTCTGTGAGAAAAACAGACCACACAGACACTCTCTGAGGCATTTCCAATGCTGTAGGTTTAAAGAAAAAGTCCCGTTGGGCTAGACCTCAACTGGATTGACTTTTATCTTATTTTGTGTGTCACAGAAACCAGCAAATTTTCTCATCGGTTGCCTTAATCTTTAATGAATTTCATGGATCTTTCACTTTTGAAAATTATAAATTAATTTAACAGTAAAATATATAATTAGCCAGGGTCACTTTAAGTTTTCCATCACTTACAGACAGGTTTTTGTTTGACTCTGCTCCTTCCCTGGAAGCATCTGCAATCAGCTCCAGGCCAGAGGGCCAGTCTTCAACAAAAGTGGTTGTCTCAGAGCCCAAGGAAAAGGACTATGCTAGGTACTTTTGGGTACAGGTTTCTGAAGGCATGTTGAAACAACACCAGTGTACTAAGTCAGGATTTCTAGCACTGAGTCAGGATTTCTAGAACTCTAGTCAAGAAGATGGATTCAGGAGACTGCTAAACTGAACATCAAGCAGAACAAGAACTACGCAGGACTGAAAGAACTGACTAAGGATAACTGTAGGCTTTGCTGGAAGACTGCTGTTGTCTTAGGTTTTATTTCCTGGCTATATTAGGAACCTTTTTCTCTTTTCTCTTAAGCTATCTATAATTTGTAACAACTTAGTAGACTGTGCTTTTGTAACTGAAATTATCCAGTGTATCTTGTCTTTTCACACTTGTGTAACACACTTCTAAAAAGAAATGTGGCAATGTGTCTCAAGAGACATAAAAAAACTGTCTTCACAATGTAGTAATCTATTTTAAGGAAATAATCTGAAAACCTGAAAAGTTTACATAAAGATTTCTATCAAGTTATTAAATGGAAACATGTATCTTATAAAATAACTCAAAAACAATTAGCTACATTATGGCATATACATCAAGTGGGAGACTGTCATTAAACATGGGACACTGCACATGGGACAGGACTCATATGATAGCTTCTAAAGGTAAGGTCTATGGAGAAAAAAATACATATCTCAACATGTTTCTCACACACACACACACACACACACACACAGATAAAGCCCAGGAATGAAATATGAAAAAAATACATATCTCAACATGTTTCTCACACACACACACACACACACACACACACACACACACACACAGCCCAGGAATGAAATATGCTAAAGTGTTAACGGTAACAATTTTCAGACGGGAAGATTCTGACCAGTTAGTTTCTTTAAACTTTTCAAATTCTTCAGATTTTTCGACAATAGACATGTGTTACTTTTACTATCTGAGAGGTTCCTAATTTAGTTTTATCAACTGAACAAGTTTCATTGGCTTTTCTGAAGCAGCAAATAGATCAATCTGGAAAATACTACTCTTAAGTATAGCCTATACCACTTAAAAAAATGAAAACAGTATTAATCTAAGTAGTAAAGACACATTAAGTTAAATAAAAAACTAAAAAGAACTTCCAAAAAAAAGAAAAGAAACTGAGCTGTGCCTACTGACCTAAACAAGTCACTCAACCAGTAATGCCACACTTCTGATTTGAGTAGGATCTATGACTCTGCAACAGCCAGTGTGAATTCCAAACACCTCTAGGAATAACATGCAAAATAAATCACAGCTGAAGCAAAAAAAGGAATTTGGAAAAGTCAGGTCCCAAAACCTTTTTCTCCTTTCTGTGATTTCTGCAGACATAGAAAAAAAAGATTCTTGGATAATGCAGACTACTGCAGCTTTTTTAGAAAATATCTAGACTCAAAATATATTTGATGGCTTTTAAAAAAAATTACTTATGATGGACTTCCCCCTTTATCACTTTAAAAGGAAGAAAAGAGATACGCAACAATGACTACTAATACTGAACACTTCACATAAAAGGCCACTATTCCATTGAATTTTAGTAACAACCTAGAAAGTAGGTGCTATTATTATTTCTGTTTTTCAAATGAGGAAAACTCAGTGGGAGAATGGTTAAATAACTTTCTCAAAATCAGACAGCTAGTAAACAAGAGGTAAGATACAAAGCCTGTCTTAACACCGAAACCTAAGCCCTAATCAATCAATATATGCATTGCTGTCCTCCGCGCACTGCCCACCGCCGTCCTCTCTCCGCGCACTGCCCACCGCCGTCCTCTCTCCGCGCACTGCCCACCGCCGTCCTCACTCAGCGCAATGCCCACCGCCGTCCTCACTCGGCATACTGCCCACCGCCGTCCTCTCTCCGCGCACTGCCCACAGCTGTCCTCACTCGGCGCACTGCCCACCCCTGTCCTCTGCGCACTGCCCACCGCTGTCCTCACTTGGCGCACTGCCCACCGCCATCCTCTCTCCGCGCACTGCTCACCGCTGTCCTCACTCGGCGCACTGCCCACCGCCGTCCTCACTCGGCGCACTGCCCACCCCTGTCCTCTGCGCACTGCCCACCGTTCCACCGCTGTCCTCACTCGGTGCACTGCCCACCACTGTCCTTACTCTGCGCACTGCCCACCGCTGTGTGCACACATGGCAGGGGCAACATGCTTCTTTCCTTCCTGAGGGCCACACTATTTTTGAAAAAATTTAAATACAGATCAGTGTTTTAGAGAAAAACGAATAACTTACCTAAGGTACTCATATATTCCAACCCCAATTTTACTCTAAAATTAATCCTAAATTCTGTTACAATTCTTGTGTTCTGATAAGTAACTAAGAGAACAATCTTGAGAGACAAGGATGAGATGTATTCTTATTCTGGCCTTCGGGAAATAAGGTTATTTTCAAGGGATCCCAACCTTGCTCAGCTTCTTCAAAACTGCCAGTTAGTGGGTACTGGGCATGTTCTCCTCACTCACTCTCAAAGGACGAGCACAAGAGTGCCTTTTTCCACTTCTGACTGGTCATGTTTTGCAAAGTGAGGGTCACAACACATTTATGAGTAATAAAATCAATTTAATGGATCATAATGAACAGCTTTTTTAAGAGAACAGAACAAGAATTATCAAACTGTATTACAAGGTCAAACATTATTTCATAAATTTTTACTTCAGTTATACAGGTTATACACACTATTTCTTACCACGGGCATGGTCCCAGCAGGAGTTTCAACACCACTACCACCAAACAGAAATTACAGCCTTACTGCCTGTTTAATCTAAGATGAACACAGAAAAGAACAATGTATCTATAAAGGTTTGTGCACTGTCTCCTCATTATTCTGTGAGCTTGTTCCATGGTGGGGAAAGTATACAATGAGTTTGACAGAGATGTCAGAGGCTTTTTTGCACTGACTTTTTGTGAAACCAAATATTTCATCACTAATCTATCCTGTAGAGTCTAATTAACTCAGAAAATACAGTATTCCACAGTTGCTAAGTAACTGGTCATGTGGGCCTGTGCTGACGCTGGGCCAGGTAGTCAGATGGCTGAAGCATGCCTTCAGCTGTGGACCCTAACCTGGGAACACAGCGTGTCATAAGTAAAAAGCAAACAGCCTGGACCCAGGATGCCAAGTTTAACTTTGGGGAAGATGCAGCCTCTCTGGGCTAGTTTTCTCATCTCTAAAATGAAGAGCATGGCCCAGATGATCTCCAAATTCCCTTCTACTCTAACTTTTGTAATTCTATAAGCAATGGCTGGGAAGTTGGACTAAAGTAACGTTAAGAGCCCTACCAACTCATAAGACTTGCATTAGCAAGTGCTTAATTCCTCATCTGAATGAGAACTAACGAAACCCAAGTTATACATACATTTTTATTTTCCTAAATAAAGACTTTAGGATTGTCAATGGTATAATAAAAATAACACCTGTATTAAATTTTCTTCCAAAATACTTCCACTGAAAGGTTGACAATTTCTATTAATTTACATCTCTAAACTAGCTGTCTTCTAATAAGTCCTTCTCAGGATATTGTACAGCTAGTATCCTCAAATAACCTGCTCACATGCAAAAAGTTTCCACTGAAAACATCAAATCTGATCAGCTTTGAAGTTTAGTGTCCACTTTTCTCCACAAGTTTATTTCTTCTGAAATTATACTGAAATGAAATTCACTTATGAAGTGAAATGCTTCGGACAGAACACCTAATACATCCACAATAGCCTTCCTTCCCTGATCCTTTATGAATATTTGGCATCTGTATGATCCGTGAGACTAGTACTTCTACTGATGTCTGCAAAATATGACAAATGAATATTTGTATAGGTCAGAAATAAATTTTCCTTTTGCCTATTCTGTTAGAGAATAAATATCTAAAGGCAAATTGTACTCTACTACATGAGTCTGAGGTCTCTGTGAAACAGAAGAATGTAACTAACATACCTACTTTCCAGAGGAATAATGTTCCTTTTAATATACAGCAGTTTGGAATATGCCGCTGAAACAGGGGAAAGCATTTTAGAATAACGTACTTGTTGAGAATACAGTTACAGATTCTAAATTACAGTTCTACACATGTAAATTACCATCATAAAGCAAGCCCTTTGTCTGCTTCGTTACTGCTAATGTCGTTTCAATCTACCTACTCTCTTACCCAGGATGAACTAAATAATTAAAGAAAACCTACTCAATATAGTTGGATAGTTCATGTATTGGAAATAAATTTTTAAAAAGATTTCATTTAAAATTTGGCAGCAATATTCTCTTTAAATGGAATTTTATCAATTTCAATTCTAGCAACAATTCAAAAGAGACTTAAAATTATAAATGTACTAGTTAAGAATCTGGGCTCTATAATTAGCTTTTTATGGAAAAATAAAAACATGTAGTATGTTCATTGTAAAATATTTTAGGGAAAGTGTCATTATATAGCCTTTCAATCTTTTTTTCTATGCACATATACATCTTTTTTTTTCAATGGGATCATACCGACTCTTGGATTTTACAAAGCCCAACTCAAATAAATAATAGTTTAAAAATAGAGAATTTATTAACTATGTATCAAAACAGGAGAAAAACGGGGATGAATCTAACATAAAAGGAAAGGACAGTGGGCAAAGTGTCTCTGCTTTTCTGTGGGGTTAACGCCATTGTCTGAGATCAACTCACTTCTCTATGAGCCTGTGACTACAGCTTCAGGGGACCAGTTCTAGGCTCAGGACTCCACAGTACATAGTTCGGGTAATACAAAGAGCATTTTTCTCCTCCAGCTTCGATTTGAAAAATCCCAGAAGAGAACCCTAAAGGCCTGGCTTGGGTCAACTGCCTACCCCGATAGCCAGGAATGTGGAACAAGAGAGCAGTTCCAGTCTGGACCACGGAGCTGGCATCAGCAGAGAGATGAGAACGGGGGAGCGGAAGGACGAAGGGAGGCCAGACATAACTAGTGCAGAAACACACATGACCTGAGAAGCCTCCTCAAGTTTTGCTTCCCATCTTCCACAAACACTGTTTCATTATCTGCTTTTCTCACTGAACACAGTGTGAGTATACAACATCAGCAATACTTAAGAATTTTTTTAGACATAGACGCTCAGGTCCCTCTTATCTAGAAGAACTTATATCATGAGCATTTTTTAATGTCTGAATATTCCTTGAAAACATGGTTTTTAATAGCCACACAGAATTCCTATGTGGTTCTGAATTTTTTAAATTTAATTTTATGACATAAATCCAGAAGAACCACATACCATCATGACCTTTTTTGAACACAATAGTCACAAGACTCAAAAAAAGCATTTTATGAAAGCACCAACCACTGGCATCTTTACCACACCTTTTTTCAGAAACTATGCCAAAGGATTCTTTGTGGGGGGTGGATTATGGGGAGGGTGGAGGCAGTTAGGTGATCCTCTGAGACTTACCACTAGTAAAAATCTCCCACTGAGGGTTTTTTAAACAAATGTCTTTAAGAGACAGGGTACAATATATCACAGAGTAAAGCAAGAAAAGCAAGGTCTGTCATAATCTAATTAAAGCAAGACTGAAGATTAAAAACAAACACACTATAACCCAACCCGGGCAAGTTAGTGGTGGGGGCAGGAGGTGGGGGACAGCCTGTGGGAAGTCTAGGGAATGGAGTAAGTTTAAGCTGCAGGCCTTCCATGCTAGAAGCAGGCAGTACACCTCATAGGGATGCTGGCCAGCCTCCCTGGTCTGGTAACTTCGTCACTAAGATCATTCAGCTAATTTCTCTTGCTTATGCCATGCTCACCTGTCAATCTCTTAATTACGCTTTGGCATTCCATAGCCAAGAGGGCACACTGACCCACCAGGTGTAGACCAAGCTGAGTGGGGTGACATGCAATGCCTAGACCTTGCTTACTTTTCCTGCCAGGGGAATGCTGGCCTACCAAGATCCACAACAGCCATCCGCCAAACTCCCTTTCTGACTTCCTCCTATTTTCTCTTTAAAGAAACTATTGCCAACGGCCTGACTAGCAAGATGAAAGTGCTTTAAAAAGAATACATCCTGCCTGGTCAAATGAGAAGGCTGAGACAACAGAATGCTATGAGTAAAAAGATAATCATGGAGGAATGAGGAATTATTAAGTAACAGGAAGTTATTAAGGCAAATGTATCCAGGAAGCAGTGAAGACCTCCTATCACCCTACTTCAGGTGGAGCTCAGAACAAGATTTACAAGACACCAAGGGAACACAAGTGAAGGAAGGAGAAGCAACTTCTAACAATAGGACAATTAAAGGAAACCACAAAATCCTTCTTAAGAGACTAGCTGTCCCCATTTCAGAACACAGGATAGTCTCTGCCATGGTTGAAGCCCTTTGTTACTGCAGCTGCAAGGTCACTGCGTCTCTGCCTAAAGCTCCCCCACCCCACCCACGGGTTCTACTGTTGTTATGGCCTCAAGCCACGCCCACCACCGAGGCTGGTCTGGCAGTCTGCAGCTGTGCCCTAAGGTGGACTTCACTAGGGACAACAGTGACATCCAATGTCAAGACTGAGAAAGTATGAAAAAGTATGAAGTCCCACTCAAAGGAGACATGCAAGTTGACAGAACGATCAACTCACCTGGGAGTGACAGGATACCCAAGTACTTCTTCAGTAGTGAAACCCATTTTTTCAAGTGAATTTATAAGGAAGTGAGTATTACAGAAAGTGAATAGTAGCTAAAGTCATTGGTTAAAAAGAAAGCTACTTTTAGGTTCATGTAACATATACTTTGTAAGGACAATAAGTGAGAGTAATGAGGCTAGTTTTAATATCACTATTTTAAAGGAAAGGTTACAGTAGATAGGAGCAGTTTTACTTCAGCCTTAATATCCAAGTTCTGTGTTTTTTTAAGTGCATATTCAAGAAATCACAAAAGTAAATTATTCCAAATTAGTTTTAAAAGCTCATTACAATCTCAGAATCATCCTACAACCCACCAAGATGCTGGAAAAAGAAATTACAAGGAATGTTTATTTCTAAGCTTAATCACTAACAGTAACAACTGATATCCCTACCATGAATGCTTTATCAAAAATAAGGACAAGCAGTATCCACAACTGACAATTAGCAGTAAAACCATAATGAAGTACTATCACCTCTCAGCCTGTTTTGTGTTTCTTGCTCATTGCGTAACTGTCGCAGCAGCATGCACCCAGCAGATGGGCCGGGCTGGCACCTGCCACGGTACTGCACTGGCAAACATGTGTGGGCTTGCACTCCACAGAGGACCTGTGCCTTAGAACAGCCTTGCTAATCAATGACACATTGACAGAAAGTGCACGAGCAAAGATGGCAGGGAGAGCTGTTCCAGTCTGTCCCCAAACCAGTTAACCTGGTAGCGCAAATCACACTACCAATCTCCAATGTGTTAGAATGTGGTATCTAGCACACGCTGAATGTGCATGTTGAGCTTCTTTAAAAAGTTAAAAATATAAACAAAAGAAATTTAAATAAACAACTGTAGAACCCCTGAAGCATCTTTTGCTAATGATCTACAGTAAGTTTGTCAGAGGTCAGCTTTGTATATCGAAGAGGCAGGTGGTGGTGACAATGAGGGCATATGACACAGAAAACAACAGCTTTGTCAAATAATCTGTTTTACAGATTTACTGTAAAATTAAGTGCAATGTTGCTAAGAAAAATATTTCAAAGCTCTTCTTGTTCTGTTCACTTAAAGTTGGATGAAGCCCATTATCCTGACCTATTTTTATTATGACAAAGACACAGAAATCTGGCTGAAAAATCAATGTTTCTTTTTATCATTGGAGGTAGAGTCGTTTTTACAGCACATTTCCATTTCTCTCTGCCCTTTTTTACTTTTACCTAATCCATTTTATCCCAAAGTGTGGTTATACAGAATTATAATCTCTGATCTGCCCATTTAGACAATGGAATCACACCCCCTCTTCATGTGTTTAAGGGCATGCAGACCTGAGTTCATTACTTGCTGTGAAACCGTGGACAATATACTTAACCACTGTGCCTTAGTTTCCCCATCTGTAAGAGACAGAATAATAGGACCAACCTCACAGAGCTGTTGTTAAGGACTAAACGGGCTAACAGAAGTAAACAGCACATTCTAAGCATTTAGTAAGCGTTCATTCAGTTTACTATTTTAAAAGCATAACGAGTCAAAATGCTGAAAGACTGAATCTACTAACAAATTTATAAACTTTCAGACAAAACTTCTAAAAATGTTAGATGTATTCAAAAGGAACAAAATGAATTCTCTTTACACCGTGTACCATTATTTAGAGAGGCTGTATCTCAACATCAAGGAAAATGAAGACTTTTTTCAGAGCTTATAAAAATAAACAGGTATGGAGCAACTGGGTCATGACAAGCAAGAATATGGGTCCTGTGTACAGTTCTAACTGCAGCTATAGAATTTGTCTGAAATTTATTTAAGCAGGAAAAATAAAGAGGACACTTAATTGCCTTATTCCTGGAAGCACAAAGCAAGACAGATTCAAGAGGAGCGGTGCACAAATTTTCATTATAAGGGACAGGGGGCAGCAGTTTGCAAGTCTACTTTCGGATGCAAAGGACAGGGGTAAGAGGAGATTTGAACATACAAACAGGCATGTAAAGAAAAAATTCCCAGTTATGGTGGGGGTTGATCCCCCAAAGAAAACGCCATCAAATTAACTGGGTCCCTAAGTAACAAAATGCAACAAATGCGTTGGGTACCAAAGTTCCATCGTAAGAGCTTCATGCGGTAGCAAACTTTTAGACAAATCAGTCCTTTACTTTATGTGCACGTGTGCGCAACAATCTGCACAACGCTACTACAGTGAGCCGGTTAAGGGCCATCGGAAAGAGAAACCAACCTGCCGCTTTGCAGAGACACAGTGCAGCTTCTCGGAGGAGGGACAGCAGGCCCAGGGATGGCGGGTAGGGGGGGTGCAGCAAAGGAGGGCAGGAGAAGAACGAGGGACAATCTGCCAGCGCGTCTCTGCTTCACGAGCGCCTACTTCTTTACAGGGGTAGGGGCGGTGGGAAGATCGCATTCTCCTCTAGTAACGATGCGAGCAGTTTAAGTGCGACCCCTGTTTCAGAGCTCGCGCCGCAGTGGGGACCCCGCGTGCCCCACTGCGCCCCCGGCGCGGAGGGGCAGAAGCAGCAGCGCGGGCCAGCAAGCTGGGCGCGCGGGCAAGGCTCCCCCCGCAGCCCCGGCCGCCGCGCCTCGGCCCTGGGGCTGCACCGCGCCCCTCCGGCCCAGCCCGGGGCCGGGATGCCGCCTCACCGCCCGGCGGGCAGCCGGCGCCCCCACGCCCCTCGCCTCCGACCGAGGTCGGCCCAACCGAAACCCGCCTTCCGCGCCGGGCCGGCCGTGCCACTCACCTCGCCGCCCGGCGGCGCTCGGGGTCGGGCTCAGGTTCCGGCGGCGGCGGCCCCTCCATGGCGGCGGCGGGCGGGACGGCCAAGGCGGGCGGAGGAACCGGCGCGGCGGCGGGAGCGGCTTCCCTCATCCGTGCGCAGGGCCCAGCATGGCCGCGTCGGACGGTCGCCGCAGCCTGGAGCCGGGGCCCGGAGCCCCGGGGTGCGGGAGCGGCTCAGCCCCGCCTCCGCCCCTAGCCCGCCGCAGGGGCGGCTCGCGCCGCGGCCATCTTGGGAACGGCGACCGGCCAGGGCCGGGCTACGGCGGGCGGCGAGGGACAAGTCTCCGCGGGCGGCGGCGGAGACGGCGGAGGGGGCTGCCACCGACGGGCTGGGAAGGCCGGCGAGCACGGGTCCGAGGGAGCGGCCCCGGGCCGGCGGCGCAGGCGCCCCAGGTGGCGGCGGGGGAGACGCGCCGGGTCGCGGCAGTTCGCCCCGGGGTCCGGGGCCGCCGCCGCTGCCGCCGGTTTCGCTCGCGGGGGTGTGCGGTGGGCTGTGCCCGCCCCGCGGCCCGGAGGTCGGCGGGGGGCGTGCACGAAGGGCCCCGGGAGAGGCTGCGCGGCCTCGGTCCGGCGGCGGTTCACGACTTGTAAGTGCTTTGTGAACTTTAGCAAGTGGATCGCCGCCAGAGGTGATGCCATGCCCAGAAGTAGGGTTCGCTGTAAGGCACACGCTGCGTGGACCTTTTGGGGACCTGTGCGTCCTGGGCACTTGGGCTGCATTCTGAGGCAATGCTCAGGCTTCAGCGCACACGTCAAACTCGATTTTGGGGGGCCACACACAGTCTCCGGAAATGCTAGCCATTAAAGTAGCCCTCCTATCAACAGGGCAGAAAAGCACACACACTGATCTAACCTAACTAACCTCCGTATTGCAAGGACGGTTATTTCATCTTCCAGAAACTCAGGCTAGAGTGCTCCTACACAGAAGGAAAAAAGTTCTAAAGATTCTTTCCGAGTCACAGAAATGCTGCTGGAATTCCACTGCGGCATGTACTCTTAGGGAGGACTTGACGCTCCACAGTTTTAAGTTATAAATATTTATAAAAATGTCCCATGAGATGAAGTCCAGAGTTAATTAAAAAATAGCATCATTTAAAATTAAGTACATTTTTATTCATTCAAACGTGCTAGTTTTTAAAACCTCATTCAGCTGGTCTTGAATATCCACAATAAACATGTTTAATAAATGTTGGTAAGAAAACTACGTGAACCAGAAGATTTTAAATACTCTATTTTTAGGTCAGTTGTGAAGTTAGCTACATTGCACCCAAGTACAATACATAAATGTCCGTAGTTTTAAGAATGCTTCAGTCTGTTTTTATCATGACAATCTGTATGATGTATAGGACCTGACAGTGCGGAATTGCGGAACTGACATTTTATTCATTCAACAACATTCAACAGATATTTACTCAATACATGTATGTGCCAGGAACTTACTAGATGCTGAGTGATATAGCAGTGAGCAAAACACACCAAGCCTTTCTCCTAATGCTAACATCTTAGTTAAGTAAGGGAAAGAGAGAGAAAACAGAAGAAAAACAAATAAACAAGTTAATATATAGCACACCAGCCAGTAGTCCATCACTGCTATGGAGAAAAGTCAGGGGGTTTGAGAGCAGAATGCTATTTTACCTAGACTGATCAGGATAAAGTTAAATGATATGGTCATACAAGTATTTCAAAAGAAAATTTTCTTCACTTAATTTTCTCCTCACTAATTCATGTTTAAGTATTTTAATATTTTGTGTAAGTCATGGTTCACCAATGATACCTGAGGATTGTCTAAGCCTGGGGCCTCTCCTCAGGTCTCCATGCTTGTAAATCTGTTATATTTGATATATAGACCAGCATTTGTAAGATGTATAATTTGTTGTTTTAATTTCTGCTTGAGTACTATTTTAGCATGAACCAAATTTACCTCTAACTAATCATATAAGGCAGCTCATGTGGAAACCTCAGTTAACTAGTACTAAATATTCTATTTAAATGCAGTGAATTTTTTTCTTTACTCAAGTTACTTTTGGGTTACGCATCAACACTTCGTTATTTGTGTTCTATTTGGTACCACTTCATTTCAGCAATTCAGCATTCCAAGTGTCAAGATCTGAATTTATTCCCCTCTTACCCACCAACCTAAAAACCTGCTCCTCGCCTATGTTCTCTGACTTGGTGAACTGCCGTGCCCTTTACCCACTCAGAACTGAACAACCATTCCCTCAGCCCCCTGATAAAGGTTCCTTAATCCTTTCTAATTCTATCACCGCACTGGAATCCTTTCGCTCACCTCCATCCTGTCTAGTACAGACCACCGTCATAGCTCACCCAGCTCACTGCACCAGCTGCTGCTAGTCACCCTGCCTCTGCCCGTGTGCTCACTACCAGCCCAATCTCTTCTCACCCTGTAGTCATGAAATCTTTCAGAATCTCCATCCAAACATGTCACTGTCTTACCTAATTCATTTTACTGACATCTTACTGCTGTCCAAATGAAGTACTTAAAAAGTCTGAGTTCTTCAAATGCTTCTTAGTTGGTCCTGCTCCAAGGAATGTGCAAAAGGAGTTCCTGCTCCATCACACCTTGCATTCCACCTGGCCAGGCCCCTCGGGTCTAAGCTATGTGGGTGTCCTTGCAGAGGAGGACCTCAGGAGGTCCTTGCAGACCTGGGGAAAAGCTCTCACTCTAGAGCAGGAAAGAGATGCAAGTTTTCTAGCAGGCTAAGAATCGGCATCCATTTAAATGATAATCTTAAAATACTTGTTCAAAAGGGATAAGCAGCTTTTTGTCTTACAAATGTGTGTATATATATATATATAAAGTCATATGAAGAAAGCTCAGCAAAATATTTCCCAGCTCTCTGTAATTCTAGTTCTAGTCTTAATTTTCCTTTACTTTTCCAAGCCAGAACCCTTCTTTGGAAGGCATATTCAAAGTTTTAAATGTTATATAATCAAATCCCTCTTCTCTAAACAGCACTATATCATATTCTTTGATGTTGGTATTCCAGCTAACTGAAGTTAAAGCAGTTGACATGCACACAAGTGCACCAAGCCACAAAAACACTGGGCAAATGTAAGCCAGCATCAGGGGACTGTCTCAGCAGGAACCAAACAAATTTACATTCAACTAATCATGTAATGAAACGTGTGTAGAAACCTAACTTAACTGGTACTAAATTTTCAATTTAAATGCAGGGGTTGTTGCCCAGGCTCAGGCCTCCAGCCCCAAGCCGCTCCAGTCCCCAGATTCCTTTTCCACCTACTCTGCTAGAGCGTCCGCTCCTGCAGGACAGGCGCCTTCTGTCATACACCACTGGGACTCCCAACCACCCAGCAAGCGGTCCCATAACAAAGGGAAGTAGGTTCCATCTGCGCATTTCTGGTGCCTGGCACAGCACCCAGTGCATCACAGGACTTCAGTACATTCAGTATGTAGGTGTTTTTAATGTTAACATTGATGAACTATTATAGTTACATTTTTGTCTCTCGATTTATGACGGCTTAGCATGACTGATTTCATTGCTCTTAATCATGGTTTTAAAAACAATGACAACCCAAATCTTCAGAGGATTGCCTTTCACTCTGTCCTCAAGACTGAATCTACATAGCCCTTCTTGCATGTCTTTACTTTAAAACGAGTTACAAAAGCAAGATTAAAGTTTTACTGAAGATCCAGTTTAGAGTGAGCTATGTAACATTCTTAAGTTTGCTTACCACTTTTTCAGGCCCAATTGTGATACATGCCACCACTACTATGAAATCTCAAACATATATATACATATATATATATACACCCATATATATGTACATAAATAGTATGCTATACAATACATAATACAATATCTATAGTATGTTTTATATATATGTAAGGTACTACAGTGATACCCTTTTACACAGATACCTGTAGTACCTTAGCATCTTACCAAGACTAGTATATTAGCAAAAAATCAGTGTGGGTTTTTTTGAAAAAGAATTTTTGTGCCAAGCTGTGCTGTAAATAGGGTTATGCCTTTGTTATAAAAACAAAAACAAAAAACTCCTAAGACTAGTTTTTTAAATCATTCTGAGCACAGTGCTGCATTTTACTTAGAATAAGTCATGCCCACCCCACCCCCTTAGTGAGCTTTCCACCCGGATTCCTGTGTCAATGCTCAAAGACTTCACCAACTCTGCTCTCTCCTCTCCAGCAGCTCCCAGGCAGTTCCGCCCAGCTCAGCAGAGGCAGAAAGAGAAGAGTACAAACAGCCCAATCTGCTCATGACCAGAGGGGCTGATTCATTTGCACTCCAGCATACACACAGAAAGGCAGACTCAGTGAAAGAGCAATAAAAGCCTCACTCTGGTGAGGAGAAGCTGAACCGAACTTATACCCATCGGTTTATTTTTTCCATAATGATACAGTAACATCAATTTCTACCTACTAGTAAAACACAAAAAATACTGGATACCTACAAACGGTAATTCTCCACTAGGACACAAATTACTCCTCATTTCAGACATTCTTTTATACAAACAAAAACAAAGGTCCTAATAATGAGACCCCAGGACTCCAAATCATTAAATGATGGATAAAAAGTTACTCTATTTTTAATGGTTAGAAAAATGTGAATGAAACTAATAGAGGGAAGGCAGTGGCCTCCAACATAGAAGTTAGAATAGAGAGGGTGGGAAATGTGCTAGCAGAAATCCACAGATCAAAGCACACCCCACAGCATTTCCTTCTGGAGGTCGGGCGGTAAGATTCAGGCAAGCCCACATTGCTTCATCCCTGCTCTGACTTCTCATTTTGCCTCTTCACGATCCTGCCAATGTGAGGGCAGCTTTAAAAAATGAGACCCCCTGAGGGAGTACACTCTTCTTGCTAGACAAAAAATTCAAAGATTTCTGCACCAAAACATCTACAGACTGGCCGATTGTCATCCTTTCATTGCTCTATTAGGTGTCCAGGTGTGAGTTTTAGAGAACTGCAAAACCAAAAGCTGCAGTTTCTAAGTGATTTTCAGATCCCTTCCAATCGATCAGCACACATTTTGCACAGGACCTGGAACCGAGCAAAGAGAATCCATGACTGAGCCAGCAAGGAGCTCCTCTGCCCTCTGCCAGAAGCTTCTGCTCTGCATGTACTTCCAGGGGGTAAAGTCACTCCTTCCCAGTGCAGTTCAAGGGACCCCCACTTGGGGGAGACTTGTCTGAGCTCCACCACCAGCCTGCCCTAACCTGACAGTAAGATACTTCCCTAAGGTCCCCATAAAATCTTGGGCAAATCCTTCCTGTAGCACTATCTCCCTACCTATCTGCATCTATATATTTGGTTGATTACATGTGTATTTCTTCTCCTGTGACCTTCTCAAGACCAAGCAATAGTTCTTGCTATCACTATATCTTCAGCACCTGGAATAACACTGCACATAGTACATGTTCAGTAAAATGTCTGTTGAAAAATATGAACTGGGTGGACAGATGAATATGTGGATGGATGGATAAATGGATGGATCTAACTGGGGAAATAAGCCCGTCACTGTAGTACAATAGACTCTAAGCAGATTCATAAGGCACATTTTTTTAAGTGTAACAGACATTCTAAAGAGTCCAAGATAACCAAGGTAGAAACAAGTAAGGAAGAAAAACTAAATAAAAAATAGACATTCAGTATGAGGGGTTAAAGACATTCTCATATTATGTGAAGCTTTATGTCACCAAAAAATGTTAGAAAGAACAGATAACTCAAATTCTTATATCGACAGTGGAGAATCTTAATGGCCCTTTTGGCTGTTCACATAAATACACTTACACACCAACAAATGAAAGACTCACATTATTCTGGTTAAAATAAGAGAAGAGTAATCACAGATAAATATTGAAATAGAGTTTGAAATGCTGATTTTTTTTTGAGAGACGACACTGATGCACATCTGAAATATTTTCAGCCAATTGACTCATAACCAAAGGCCAGAAGTAAGTTCTCAGAAGTCAAAGACCCATCCTTCTGAAGTGTACATTTTCAAAGTAGTTATGCAACAACATAAAACCCTTGAGTTGGAAACATCTTTCAAAGTCACCTAATCGAACTTTTTTCTCAGAGCAAGATTTTTCTCTCCATCAATCACAAAAGCGTCAAAGGCTTGAATTTCCCAGTTTCATAAGGCACTCTATTCTGCACTTTGACAACTCTTATTCTTAGGAAATCAATGTTTATAATAGTTCCAAGCATGCCTCCCTAATACATCTACCAAAAGTTTTATCTAGGACTACATGAAATAAATGGTTGCATTTGAAAACAGCTATTTTGTGGTTCTCCCCCAGAAAGCAACAAAAAAATCTTTAAAAAATTTTTCCCACAGTCATCTTCCTCTTGCCCCCACTCCCTCCAGACCTGGGTAGTATCAGCTGGAGATAATTCCATTGGAAGATTTTCCTTACACTGGTTTACTTGATGATTCAGATATGATTAGAGAAGTTTCGATTAAGCTAATCAAGGAATTTGAAATCATAATTTCAGAATATTTTTCCTTCAAATATATTTCAAAATATAATTAGTAATAAGAAAAGAAATTTACTGTTTTATTTTCCTAAACAAACAACATTATGTGTTCATAGTGACCAGGATTATCCACCAGTATAAAAGGAAGGTGAAACTTTTTTATTTAGACTACTGCTTTTCAAAATTTCAAGTGTATAATCCATCACTTGAAGACCTGGTCAAGCTGCAGATCCCCAAATCAGTAGATTCAGGCTGGAACCTGAGAATCTGCATTTCTAACAAGCTCCCAAATACTGTGGACGCTGCCTGAGAGTGGACCACACTTTGAATTTCAAACTCTGCTTTGGAAGTCTATAACAAACTTAAAGAAAATGACCAAGAGAAAAGATAGGGATGTTACTTTCAAGCAAAGATAACTAGCCCCCCTGGCAGATACAATTAGCAAGTATGTGAGTATGTGGTGATCCTGGTATTGTGGGTTGAATTGTGTCCCTTAAAAAGATATGGTGAAGTCCAGTAAAGTTGCAGAATACAAAATCAATACACAGAAATCTGTTGCATTTCTATATATTAATATCTAGCTGAAAGAGAAGTTAAGAAAACAATCTCATTTACAGCTGCATCAAAAAGAATAAAATACCTAGGAATAAATTTAACCCAAGTGAAAGAAAGACTTGTGTTTTGAAATCTATTTGAGACATTAATGAAAGAAAATAATATGACACAAATAAAGGGAAGATACACCATGCTCATGGATTGGAAGAACTAGTATTGCTAACATGACCATACTACCCAAAGCAATCAATGCAGTCCCATATCAAAATACCAAGGGCATTTTTCACAGAACTAGAATGAAAAAATCCTAAATTTTGTGTGGAAACACAAAAGACCCAAAAAAGCCAAAGCATTCTTGAGAAAGAACATAGTTGGAGGTATTGTGCTCCCTAATTTCAAACTATACCATAAAGCTATAGTAGCCAAAATAGTATGGTATGTCACAAAAATACACAAATCGATCAATGGAGCAGAACGGAGAGCCAGAAATAAACCCATGCTTACATAGTCAATTAATCTACAACAAAGGAGGCAAGAATACACAGTGGGGAAAGCACAATGTCTTCAAGAAATGGTGCTGGGAAAACTGGACAGCCACATGCAAAAGAATGAAACAGGACCACTGTCTTACACCATACACAAAAAGAAACTCAAAATGGATTAAATACCTACATATAAGTCCTGAAATTATAAAACTCCTAGAAGAAAATATAGTAAACTCTTGAACATTTTTTTCTGGGTATGTCTCCCCAGGTAAGGAAACAAAAACAAAAACAAGTTGGACTACATTGAACTGAAAACATCTACACAGTAAAGGAAGCTATCAACGAAATGAAAAGGCAGCCTACTAAATGGGAGAATATATTTGCAAATGATATGGCCAGTAATGGGTTAGTATTCAAAATATATAAAGAACTCATACAACTCAACACCTAAAAAACAATCTGATTAAAAAATATGCAGAGGACCTGAATAGACATTTTTCCAAAGAAGATATAGAGATAGCCAACAGGCACATGAAAAGATGTTCAACATCACTAATTATCAAGGAAATGTAAATCAAAACCACAGTGAAATATCACCTCACACCTGTCACATGATGACTATTACCAAAAAGATAAGAATATAACAAGTGTTAGCAAGAATGTAGAGAAAAGGAAATCCCTGTGCACTGTTGGTGGGAATATTAACTGGTGCAGTCTCTATGGAAAAAAATTAAAAATAGAAGTACCATACAATCCAGTAATTCTTCTGGGTGTTTACCCAAGGGAAATGAAAAGACTAATTTGAAAAGAGATAGGCACCTCCATGTAACATTATTTACAATTGCCAAGATACAGAAGTCAAATAAGTGTTCATCGACAGATGAATAAAGAAAAGGTGGTATATATACACAATGGAATATTACTCAGCCATAAAAATGAATGAAATCTTGCCATTTGCAGCAAGAGGAATGGACCTAGAAGGTATTAGGCTCAGTGAAATAAGTCAGAGAAAGAAAAATACCATATGATTTTATGGTGCTGGGAAAACTGGACAGCCACATGCAAAAGAATGAAACAGGACCACTGTCTTACACCATACACAAAAAGAAACTCAAAATGGATTAAAGACCTACATATAAGTCCTGAAATTATAAAACTCCTAGAAGAAAATATAGTAAACTCTTGAACATTTTTTTCTGGGTATGTCTCCCCAGGTAAGGAAACAAAAACAAAAACAAGTTGGACTACATTGAACTGAAAACATCTACACAGTAAAGGAAGCTATCAACGAAATGAAAAGGCAGCCTACTAAATGGGAGAATATATTTGCAAATGATATGGCCAGTAATGGGTTAGTATTCAAAATATATAAAGAACTCATACAACTCAACACCTAAAAAACAATCTGATTAAAAAATATGCAGAGGACCTGAATAGACATTTTTCCAAAGAAGATATAGAGATAGCCAACAGGCACATGAAAAGATGTTCAACATCACTAATTATCAAGGAAATGTAAATCAAAACCACAGTGAAATATCACCTCACACCTGTCACATGATGACTATTACCAAAAAGATAAGAATATAACAAGTGTTAGCAAGAATGTAGAGAAAAGGAAATCCCTGTGCACTGTTGGTGGGAATATTAACTGGTGCAGTCTCTATGGAAAAAAATTAAAAATAGAAGTACCATACAATCCAGTAATTCTTCTGGGTGTTTACCCAAGGGAAATGAAAAGACTAATTTGAAAAGAGATAGGCACCTCCATGTAACATTATTTACAATTGCCAAGATACAGAAGTGAA